TTCTTGCTGGGTATAATTTTGCTTCCAATTAAATACAAATTATAGCAGTGACCAGGAAATAGAGACAAATCCCTGATATTAGACCTCCTTTTGCCATCGTGAATAAACTTTTTTACGTTCGATACACTATTTATCCATGCCAAGTTTGTAATTTTAGTCTCCTCCTTCGAATACATCACTTTGCCAGAAAGCGGTAATTGGCCAGATGTTACATCCCGGGCAGTTCAAACTCCTTCCGTGTCCTTCCTCTACGATGTTACCAACATTCTGTATTTCAAATCTAGCGATAACCTTTAGTGCTAGTCTCATTAAAAAATAACTATATCTTCGGAAAATATTAGCCCACTTCAGAAATTTGGAGATCCACTTTGTTTGATTTCAGCCAGTCACCCAAGGACTGTCATAAAAAAAATGCTTAGGCCTATTAATTGTTTTTCTCCCACACCTACTTTTAGCAAAACAAGCTCTCTCCAAACAGCCCAATACAGTAGATTCCCATTATAGCACTCTCAAGGGGACCTAACAGAATTGAGCACACAGCGCTATGACTGGATGGATGCACAATATGTGCAACGCACATGTACTGCAGTGTACATGTATAGATTCGTGTATCTACATGTACATATATATCATGTATGTGAATTTTGTTAATATGTATTAGCAGATGTATGTACCGTAACTTTTGGAGTATATGCCTTGTATCTGTTTTTTTCGACGTTTTCGTGGCGCCAATTAAAAAAAAAACAAATCTCTTCAAAAACCGCCACGAGACTTCGTGCATGCTGCATCACAGCACACCCAATGCATCTACACCCACCGTGACATTCTGACTGCTACTGCGTACCCATTCATGGACAGTCCAATCACTGACTTTTCCCAAATGACCAAGTGACCTCGGTCATCAGACAACCCAAGTGAAAACAGACCTGGCATGTCACGCTGAACACAATCAGCGAAAAGACAAGATTTGCTACATGAAGATACACGTACAATTTGAGCTGCTTATTTTATTTATCTGTGAAAAGAAACCTTTAGTTAACGTAATACTACATATTGTATCTCACTGTTGATTATTTGTGTCCCAAACTACACCACGAGACTAAATAAAAAGTGGGAATATAATCACTGCAATGTCGCCACGGCAAAGCCACGCGGCCGCGGCTCACCCATGGTGATCACGTGTTTGCGCTGCATGGACGGCCCAGTGCGTGTCTGCACTCTGTGTGATCAGGATGGCTGGCCGATTGCGGCGGCCTTGCGATGCAGTTTCATACGGGTTGATTTTCAAAGAATTTGATTTTCCAAGGCAAAGAGCGCTGTAACCGGAATCATTACACATGTTGTATATGGTTCTCGGGGCCGAAAATTGTGTTACAAATGTATATCCAGAAAAGCATTGTAATGGGCATGTGTTGGGAAAATGAAAACAGAGCGTTATATCAGTAAGAGCGTTATATCAGGGAGCGCTATAACAGGAATCTACTGTACACATGCTAGAGTGCTCTATATGAACACCATCTGTCTGCTGCCCTCATCTGTCCCGTCTTATTTCAAGCAGCCTAGTTGGTATGCTGAATGGATTGAGGCTACCCAGACGAACAGGTAGTGGTCTGGCTCTCTTAGAACTATGTGCAGTGGACAATTGGTTCTCGTCACCAACCAAGTCTGCTATGGTCACCACTTCCATATCATCGTCAGGATTAACAGTTTCTGCAGTATTTATATCCCCATTTCCTGTCTTTTCTGTATTCTCATGATCAATAGTCAGATACAAGTTTTCTAGGATGTCCAAGAAGCGTTTCTGAGCAAACCTCTTCTGTGCCGTATTGTCTCTCCCAATTAAGTGTTTTTCCACAGTGCTGAGACAGTCAAGAACGACCAGGGACTCTGCAGTGATGGGTAAACACACATAACATGTTATTCTATCAATAGACAGCAAACCTTGATACCAATTCACCCTGTTGGATCATGGGATACAGAGTATTTCAACTGTTTCCAGAGAGTAACAAAGGGGGCATCAAGCCAACTTCCATAAATGAGATCACAGCAAAGTGTCACATCAACTACATTAAATGATGAAGACAGTCCACTGCTTTCAACCTACCCAAACAGTCCATATGCAAGTTTACCAAGCGCCTATTGTTATTCACTGAAAAGACTTATATGATCCATGGTTGCACTACACCAAATACACGCCCACACAAAACAGTGCAAAATCGAATCGAAATAGCACCGCCTGTTGACTCTTGTGTAGAGGTTGGCCTCCTTTTTTTTACTGAAAATTCAGGATTATGGCCAGAAGATACTTTTTGTTTCAATTTCATGTCCTGTCTTATTGTAAAAAGAACCCGCGGGATCACAAAATATAATGAGTTCGCGCACAGAAATACAACCATTTGGTGGAATGCACCCTCATGGTGCATCTTGACATCCCACAATGCACTGCAGTCATGCTGCCATTTCGAAAGTGACTCATGTCGGAGCTAGAGTGGGAACGACAGGCGGCTGAGGACTGTTTGGGTAGGTATTCTCTAGCAGTCTTGTCCCACACTGATGTGGGGGAGGAAATACCATTCCAAAAACTTACCGAGTGGACCAAGTTCTTTGCGTTCACCTTGCATCAAACTGGCAATGTACTTATAGATGGCCTCATAGTCTGGTTTGAAGTTTAACTCACTAGGCATGCTTGTCTTGTTGCTATTTATTTTTGTAGCTGCTACTGAACCACTGGACTTTGTCGTTGTTGCAGGTGTTCTTGTTGCATAGTTTGTATCATTTGACATTGTGGAGGTCATACCTGAGTGTGGCTCAGTTTCAGATGACATTGTTGTAACAATCTTATCAGATGACACAAGAAAATGAGGAGATTCAGATGACGTAATCACCTCAGAGTTCTCAGTTGACTGACCATTACAAGTTGTGCTTCTGACTGCTGAGTCATTAGATGTTGCAACAGACAGTGGTGTGGTTGATGAGGTGACACTTAAAAATGGAGAAACCGTTGCAGTCACTGATGTGGCTGCAAAAGAGCTCAGAGTCGATGGCGCGTTTGACAACGCTGGAATGTCTACTTCTTCAATGGCATCATTTTCCTCTTCTGCCATTTCTTTATCCACATCTTTACTTTCAAGAGCCATGGTGTTACAGACCTGCATGAAACACAATGGAGTGCTATGATCATCACCAGCTGCCATGCAAAACATGCCCAGAAAATGCATTTTAGAGAGCAATACTTTCCAACTGTTCCTTTTTTTAACAGGAAACCAATGACGTGGGGATGGTTCCCTAGCATAAACCTCTATCATGCTGCCGTGTTTATCTTGTTCCCTGTAGACCTATTGCCAATAGTACAACTTCACATGTTGATAACAGGGAACAGACTATTTTTCCTCCCAGCCTCAGTATGGTTGCATTGCTTTGAATGGCAGGAAAGCAAGATGGCTGCCACATGATACAGGTCTATGGGAGAGTCTTATGGGAGTTGGGTTGGCATGACCTCTGTGGTCCCCGGTTCGATTCCCGGCCCGGTCAACATGTGCATTGGGTTTGCAGTCCCTACCTGACTCTGTGGGTTTTACCCAGACTATTCCTCTGGGGTTTTCCTCCCACCTCTAAAACTGTAACTGCTTCTTACTGTTTCCCCTTTACTGATGTTGGTGAATGTGGGTCGTTTGGCGGCTGCCCGAGGTGCCCTTGTATGCCATCGGCTCAACCATGTTTAAATGAATTCATTGTTCCATGCTTTATGTCACCATTGTACAGTGCATTTGAACATATCTATATGACATTTGCGCTTTATAAATGAATAAATTAATTAATTAGTCCAAACTGCCCTCTGTTACTGCTTCACCAAAAAGGCTGCCCTTTCCATACCAGACAGCCAAAGACTAATTTTCACAAACTGCAGATGCTAAACTTCCTGTTTTTCTAGCACTATTTCCTCTAAGCCTACACTGTATAATTATTGGTTAGTTTTTACATGTGCATCTGTAATTTTAGAATGTATTTTGGACTTAAAAATGCTGTCAACCGGCATGAAATCAACTTGTGTGGTTACAGTGAATGAAACACTGACTGCAGTAAGACCTATGCATTTTCCTAACAAATATGTTGTGTTTCAAGTTGAAAGAGGCACACACTCCAAGGTAAATTTATAGACTAATCTCGGCTGTGGAAAACTGCAATTTTTACTCAGGAAGGAAAGGGCACCTGTTCATGAATGTATTTGTGCAGGGAATTGAGTCTGCACTTGTGAAGTTTGCATACTCAAGAACGTCCTTTAATCTATGGCTTTTGTACAAGACAAATTACATGATCTTAGCTTTGACCACTGCAAATGCACTGTATTTTGTTTTTTATAAAAGCAGTTAACCTCAAAACATGAAACCAGTCAATGGAATGATGGCTGCAGTAAATCAGAACTCCAAAATCAACCAATCTTGTAAAATTATGGCAAAAAACACAATGTTGTGTTCTATTGTATAAGCATTCTACACACAATTTATAATGGACCACTCTTTCGAAATGCTCACATACACACCTGATTTTACACTTACTCTAGGGATGTAACCAATCAGCTTAGTTAGGTAAGGCACACAAGAAATATATGGAGATTGCAGTGGTACTGTCAGTCACTTACCCGGATTAAGTGTCGAGAGCAATTGTCACTTGTCAGAACAGTCAACTTATCTGCCATCTGACGCCAACTCTAAAAAGAATGCAAACATATGAGTTCTATACTAATGCATGTACAATGTAGTTCATCGCCCAGTCACAATATTAGCTTTAACATAAAAAAGGTAAAAAACTATACAGTATAGTTAAAGAATGAGGCAGAGGACCTGAAATACACGAGCCAATAACATTTTCTTTTTTAAAGTGCAATGACCAGTAGTTTGGAATTATGCTACCCTATATAAAACCACTTGTATTACTATTATTTATCCAGTTTTGAATCATAATTATAATGCTATCATGAAATGAATAGATGTATGCTACAGTATTGAATCGAGCGTCTGAAACAAAAAAACAATGCTCTGTGAAGCACCTTGAAACTGAACTTTGGTGGACTTACATGTAGGTACTAATGTTTGCCTTTATGACATAAACTCATACAGACAAGAACAGTTAATGATCTCATGAATTGTGAAGCTGTGATTTAGGACAATGATTCAGGGAAAAAAGCTTACCTCTAAAGGTGGTTGGTGTTTCATTTGACTTAATGCCATACCTGTAACAAAAGCATGAACTTTGAAATGAGAATGAGCTGAGGAAAAGTAGAAATCACATTGAGTCCTGCACAATTTGATTATCTGCCCACATGCATTTGGGCATTTTGAAGGACTCCCTACATGTACTCTATTTTCTCTTCAGGCTCTCCCAAAAGTCTCTCATCTCTGGACAATGTGTGCATCCACTTCAAGCATGCACGTCAATCTTTTTTTCGCTGTGAGAGCTGCAACAGCACCCTCTTTTGAGGCACTACCTCAACATGTTTGCGGGAAGCTCAATCTTTTACTCAGGGTGATAGATCCTGACAAGATCAATGTTGAAGAGTGACAACAGACTATGGATACGAAGTTGTTAGGTGTCAGCTTATAAAGCCGGTCTAGTTCTATGACTCAATGTGTGTCTGCAATCCGGGGGAGAGGCAGCTACATCGCCCCATCAAATCTGGAACATCAGTCTGACCAGAGACAAACTTTATCTTTCTTGACCCAACATGAAAGCATTTGAATTAACAATTGGAAAGCAAGCTTGGACCCATTACCTGCTGCTCTGCGTTCCAGTACTGTCAAGTACTTCTTAACGTCTTCCATGGACTTGGTTACAACTCTTCGTCTGATCATCTTGTATGGATAACGATTGGTACGCTTATAACTTGCTGCAGCAAATTGCTTGGTGTTTAACCTTAATGTACATGTACAAGAAGAAGGAATTATACATGTATGTCAGCGTAATATAAAATATCAGAAACAGATTGGGTACAATATGTGCACCTCCACATGTATGTCCAGGATATAACTTAGTCTTAATCTAAGAGGTTCATGGGTACACCATTTTTCTTTAAAAGTGGTGGTTCTGAGAACCGCTGTGTCTAAAATTCAATAAAAATAGAAGTAGTGTGAATAACACGAGTATTCAACAGCAGTTAATTTGATTTGGTTGATACTTTTTACAGAAACATATTTAATATATATGGTCCTTACTCCTGAAGAACTCGCAACAGTTTTTCCTTCTCTTCACTCGACCAGTGTATTCCTTTGGATTCCCTGGCCATTGTAGCAAATGTGTGAGGTGCCGAACGTTTCCGTGATGAACGTCTCAAGCCTTCTCTGGTTGTACTCGGCTCGTCTTGATCCCTGCTGCCTTTTTTTCTACAACACCCGGTTTCCTGGCTACCGTTTTTGCCAGGAATTTCGATGTTCATTTTGGAGTTATTGCTGTTTTTGTAGTTACATGTACTAGCTTCAAGGCTACAGTCCTTGTCCAAGTTCTTTGTCTTTCTTTTGCTCTTCATCGTCATTCCCTGTATCCATCAATCTATCATGTCTGTAGAAGAAATAAACATATTTAGGCTGATTAACTACTTCCTGTGAGGGAGCCCGTTTTCCGGCACTGTGTGTTTATACGCGTGGTCGGGGTGTCTGAAATCGGACACAGGGAACTGGGCCTTGTAACAAAGGACCATTCTCGCAGCAAAAGACCAGGCTGCTGGGCATTACTGACATTGTTTCACTCTCAATAATGAAGAAAATCCAGCCTTGTTTTTGAAGCAGTATACAAGTACATGTACCACGGTTTTGGGCAATTAGGGCTAGTGGATCACCACCAAAAACAAAAGTGCTCCACCATCGACGCGATGAGCCACACAGCACCGCTGCACGCTAATCTGGCTCCTATTGAAAAGAAATCAGCAGCGCACTGTGCCAGGTTCGTGAACAAAAGAACGTTACATAACACCACACAATCTAGGCGCTTTTTACAAGCCTGCAGGCCTGGCTGAAATACTCGGGCGTCAACATATTTTGTCTGTCAGACTAGAGTGGCCACCAGACAGTAATTCATGTGGGTGTAAATATCCATTAATTGAAATGATGAAATTTTGAAGAATTTTGAAAACTGAAAATCTTGAAAAATTCCTGATTATGTGCACTGCATTTTTGAAACCACCTGGCAGCAAGTGGTTAAAATTAATTTCTTGTTTATCATCACGTCAAAGTTATATTTTTGGGCTGGTAGGACCTTTCATATTTTAAGTTCAGATAAATAATACCTACATGTATCTTGTACAGTATTCTTGTACAGTATTTTAATACTTGAGGGTTCCATATCAGAACAGCAATCGATCGGTCATGGCTGAAGGCATGACTAAAGAATAAAAAACACTATTTTTGTGGTGCAGACACATCTGTAAGGTTAAAAAGGGCCGACAATTTGTTAAAATGTTGGAAATATCAAATATCAAAAACGCTGGGATGGTAGGGAAAATCCAGTCAGGGGGTGATGATAAACAAGGAATCGGCCATATACGCGTACCTGTATACATACATATTCATCCAACAGTGCATTTAACGCTAATTACCTGGATTCCAGGGAAAACCCACGGAATCAGGCAGGGACTGAAAACCCAATCCACAGGCTGACCTAGGTAGGATTGTTACTCGGGTTGCAGAGGTGGAAGGCGAGGAAGGAGCCACTACACCAACCTGACTCCAAGGTTTTATTCTAAACCATCAACTGAGCAGAACATGTCATAGCAGAAAAAAAAAATGTTGAGGCGACTGAAAGGTTTTAAAAGCCAAATTACACTGTATAAGTGTATTTAGCATTTCATTTTCAGATGTAGGCCTATTGAAAAAGTCATGTTACCCAGATGTGCTTCAGGTACATGTACAGTCATGACAGTGGCATTGCTGTAATTTTTGAGGAAAACTGGTTGAGGAAAAAAAGTGAAACAGCAACAGAAAGGGTTGTCATACATGTATCCCCAGAACTGTGGGGTCCGACTTCCGCCCTTCTCCCACGAACCCCACTGAAAATAAGCCTTTTTTGCCATAGGCCCTACATGACGTTTAACAGGGCATGAGCAGGGATTTCATTCTTCTTGTGTGCCCATAGAAATGCTGCTCCATTCCCCCAAGTGTTCTATGTACGATAGCTTACATATCTTCATCGGAGTACCATGAAAAAAAAAAACAGGCCAAAACGATGCCGATTCCCAAAAAAAGTGCACATATTTCCCAATCAGTGTCCGAGAGTCATGCGGTTCACATGTGTACTTGCGAAGACAAGCCATAACCTAATGCTTGACTTCGGCTGCGATCGCTACACAAGACATGGAAAGTGGCTGCAGCCGCATTCCGTACTTGTGTGTAATTCTTAGTGTTGACTGGACTGACAGGTTGAAATGGCAGTTGGCTGCGGTGCGCTGGGGATCACACTGACCAATTGAAGAGCTCCTCATGCTTTATGCCCGAAAGGCAGGAACGACAAGCAACAGCCGTTGGGTGCCATGTACATGACCCCGCTGTCGCAACGTTAACACTTTCTGTTCAGGCACCGATCTCTGTGCGCGGCACAGCAGCGCCCACAGGAAATAAAAACACAAAAAGGAGCGTGTCTCAAGTTATGATCATGTAGGTTATGCCTAAAATAAAAAGAATATGGAAACATAGAATGCATATATTGCATCATTGCTTTGAAAGAATGGTCAGTACAAAAGTGTTTCGACAGTGTACTCACGTGCATGGCACCCAATGGCTGTTACTTATCGTTCCTGCCTTTCAGGCATAAATAATGAGGAGTCCTGTGATTGGTCACTGTGGTCCCTAGCACGTTGCAGTCAACTGCCATTTCAACCAGTCAGTCAAGTCACGGCTAAGAATTACACATAAACGTATGGAACGCGACTGCAGCCAATTTCCATGTGCTGTGTATCGATAGCAGCTATAGTCAAGCATTTGGTTGTGGCTCGTCCTTGCAAGTAGACATGTGAACCATACGACTGTTGGACACCGTTCAGGAAATATTTGTACTTTTTTTAAAATCAGCATGGTTTTGGCCCGTTTTTTTTGGTACCCAGTACGAAGGTACCCCTGTACATGTATATAAGCTATCTTACACAGAACTCTTAGGGGGAATGGAATAGTATTTCTATGGGTACACAAGACGAATAAAATTACTGTTCATGCCCTGTTAAACGTCCTGAAGGACCTACATGTATGGCAAGCAAGGCTTGTTTTCTGTGGGGTTTGTGGGAGCGGGGCGGACATCAGATCCCACAGTTCTGGGGGTAGGATTGTCACTAACTGTACGGACCATGATGAGTAAGAGAACAGCTCCAGAAATGCTCCCATCATGCCGTAAGGTAGAGGAGCATTTGCAAAAAGCAAATAAGCCTTAGAAGGATTACTGTTGATACTGCATGAGTGATTTTGCATGATGTAGGCCCAAGTTCAATACGGTCTTTTTTAAGTTTTAAGTTGTACTAACTTCCCCCATGACTTAAAGCCTACTGCTTACACTGAACATCACTACATGTGTACATGTATGATGTACATGTATGATGTACATGTATGATGTCCATGTAGGCATATGTAGTAGGCCTACATATAGGCTACAGATTCATAACCAAAATCTATTATGTCACGCACAAGCAACAGCCACAGAAACTGGTCAAGTCGTCCCCAGAATTGAAACCCTGGTCAAGTCGTCCCAAAGTCAAATTGTCCCCGGGTCAAGTCGTCCCCAAAGTGTTATCTGTGAATTTTCCTTTTCTTTTTAGGTACATCAACAAGTAGAAGAGAAAGAAAACAAGACCCTAAAGACAGAGACTCGTACATATTTTTTACATGTACTCATTCATTCACGATTTTCATTCGTTCTATGCAGCTAGCTTTTGAAATCTATGGTGGCAAAGACGTGCCACACAATATATTCATTAAAAGGGCTACTCCTGGTGTGTGCCAATGTAACAGCACATAGGCCTATTCATTAAATTGTCAAAGCAATTTGAACATCTTTAAATTTCAAATCTGCCAGTAGTCATTTCCAGTTTACTGAAATTTCTGAAATCAGTAATGACGAAATGAGTTTTGGTTATTTTAGGAAAATCAAGTTGTTTTAAGAGGTTTAAGTGGTTTTGTTCATTATTCTTATAATGGTGCGAATGGTGGAGAAATAATTTAACAAGTTCTTTGCTTTTTGAAGAACGTTTGAAGAATGTAGGGGCGGCTGCTCTGGGAGTGCTACCAAGCGGGCGAGCTGAGGACGTCTGGTCTCCTTGCCAAATGCAAGCATCTTTATGGACCATAGCTGTGGGCAAAGCGGGCCTGAATCATCAACCCAACTGGCTCTTTCAGAGATAATTCAGTCCCTGTCTGATATACTGATTACTAATATATGATTATTAAATGAAATAAAATAAATAACTTAGGCCTAAATAAAATAAATAAAAAATATCCCAATAAAAGAAAAAATAAATTACCCCAGTAAAAACTTGAAAAGAAAAAGAAATTAAATAAATTGTCCCCCCCCCAAAATAAATTAACCTAGTAAAAACTTGATAAGTAAAACGGAAGATAAATAAATACCCCCCCAAAAAAACCATTAATAACTGCATTAATATTATAATGTAATTATTCATCCGGGGACGAGTTGACTCGGGACGAGTTGACTCGGGACGAGTTGACTCGGGGACGACTTGACCCGGGGACGATTTGACCCAGGGATGACTTGACCCGGGGACGACATGACTCGGGGACGACTTGACCAACATTCATAGCCACGACCACCAACCAACAATTCAGACCAACGTTTACAGCCTACACCCACCGTCAGGCTACAGGTCTAAAGTATGGTTACCGGCTAAGTTGTGTCACTCATGTGTGGGACATGTGTACTTTGATTGTGAAGCGCTCATCTGACACCTTGCACAATGCGAGGTCACAGGTCACACTAGCCTAGTTCTCGTTTGCGACACTACACGTACCCACTCGAGGTGTGCGGCAAAGTTTAAGATCTTTAAGAATAAAATTATCCACGGTACTCAGCAAAACTGATAAAAGAAGCATTTGGATGGGATAAATAACAAGTAAATTACATCTCGTCGTGACGGTTTATATCTTACAAATTTGTTGAAAAGAAGGAAACTTCAACATTTACTTTAGCGCCACTACACAGATCCCGGGAGTGTCCTAAATTTCCCATAATTCATTGGCAAGAAGGCGCAAATGTATGATGTCATCAATATATGTGCACAAACAAAATCCGAAATTCTGCGACTATTCTTCGTTGTTCTCCGCGACATCCTTTCTAAAATCTGATTGGTCAGACGTAGGTTCGGTATTGCATCCGGAAATTACCGAGCTGATCGATCACGACCGTATTGTACGCTGTCACTATTATTGGCAACGAGAAAAGGGATTCGACAAACAGGACTCCACTGTGTACGAAAACCTGCTGAATTCCCAACGAAATGGTTTGAGATATCACTGGAAAATCATTCTCATGTCGAGGGAGGATTCCAAATGTATATTTTGTTACGGAGGGAGTTATAAATCTCTGGAGGAAGAAAAAAAAGCTTCTTTATACCTCCGAACTTTGACTGTTTGACGGACGAGATTTTTTTTATCGAGTTTTTACCCTGAAAAATGTGGTCATTGTCGACCATGTAACGATTGGATTTCTCGTTATTTTGATTGTAATATAGACAATATTAATTTGTGAGTTTGGAGTATGAGTGCAAGACCAAGAACAACGTCGTTTGCGGACGCCAAAGGCAACAATCCTGCGTTTGGGGGCTTTAAAATTTCACGTAAGTATGTGCCACAGACCATGGACATGTCAGATGGTCATGATGGTGGTCACCGAGTGATATATAAATAAAGCTAAGTAAAGGGAGTGATCAGGTGATCATGGTGATAGACATCTTAGACGTGCTGCAATTTTTCTTCCAGCACTTTTACTTCTGCTCCGTCTGTCTTCATCACAGCTCTATGGCAAACGCTATCTCAGAGTCAGACGAATTGGCGCTAGGCCTACATGTACATGTAGGCTATAGGCCTATCTGTGTATCTTTAAGTTTTCATGCTGTTTTTATTGTTTTTCATAGGGATAATACTAGGGCCTAGGCTGCATAATTATACCGACATGACAAATGTTGTAAGGTACCGGTACAGCTCCTAAACCAATTTACAGTAGGTCAAAGGCCTCCACATTTGAATAGGCCTGAATTTGAGTCAATCTGGTCAAAAACCAACTCGGTCCAAATGGTGCGAGTCAACTCGGTCCTAGGTCAACTCGGTCTCTGTCATGTGTGCGATAAATAAAAATGTACATAATTGCGAGGTAGATCTCAAACTGGGATGGGACTGTAGTTTTTTGCACGCTGCAATTAATGTTCCCGAGCACTTGGTGCCCGCCAATCAGGTGCGTATAAATAAAGCTATGTATATAACTACAATGCAAGGAATCAATTTTTAAACAAAACGTTTAAAGGTGTCCATCAACATCGAACAAAAACAAGCAATTGATGTGCCAAGGAATAACACTTTGGTATCAGGACATCTGCTACTCTGAAAGTTATGGAAGATAAAAGTTTAGGGTATTTTCATTTTATTCATTTCGAGTTAATTAACAAACACCATACATTGGATTAAACTTTGTGAGTGCAAAGATATGCTGATGCACACTTGACCTGGCCACTATACTGATGAGTTGCATAAGTCATATCTGTCTGTCAGAGGGCAGAGATAAACCACAGTACCGGTACATAGTAATACTTTGTAAAAATAAATTGAAGTTTCAACATTTTTGTGCTTGTAGATCTTAATTTTATGCAACCTTTCTTTAATTCCATTTGCCATAAAGACTAAGTTGACATGGGACCGAGTTGACCTGACACTGAGTTGACTCGAACTGAGTTGGTTTTGGACCAAGTTGACCTGCACCCATACATGTAGGCTTACATGTAGGCCGTTTTCTATGCTTTCAGATCTGACGCATGTAGCCCAAGTTACGGTACATGTACATGTAGGTGTGATTGAACATTTGTTGAAGATCATAAAGATTGTTTAGACTTGATCTACTCCTAAAATGCACTGCACCCAAAAACTCTGTAGAAAGAAGGCATTTTCTGGTATACACATATGTATGTACCTGCGTAAACATGTACATGTAGGTTCGACAAGACTTTTACATGTAAGCATAATTACATGTAGTAGAAAAGCATAGATTCTTTGGTCATGTAGATGGGTGTTTACCCATGAGCCTTATCGCAAATTCAGCATGAGTGATTTTCCACAATGGTAGACAGGCACTATGAGAAGGAAAAAAAGCTCCTTTTTAAATTCCTCCCTACAGTTCATTTCTACCATTGTGCAAAATTGCCCATGCAGTATTTGCGTTAAGGCTTATAAAAATAACTGCTCCAAGGCTTGGTTAGTCCCACATTTCTTGGCTATGTCATAAATGTGGCGTACATGTATACCATACAATGTAAGCCGCATTCGAACTGGACTAAAAATTGAAGAAGGTTACTGCAACTGCTTGTCAACATTCCATTGAGGTGTTTCTTCCATGCGTCTGCACACGGGTTACTCAGACCCATGTAAAATCCATGACCATGCAGCGGCATGCTCACAAGGGCACAAGAATCTCACAAGGGCACCCTTCAATGGACCTTTAATAATCTGAAACCAGATGAGGCCTCTGGAAAGTGGGCAGATCTTTTCACTTCATGCGTTTCAATTACTGCAAAATCTCGAAAGAATTGCATTTTGTTTAAGTTTTACATTACACTGGCCGTTTGCGCAGAACTTTTCTGAGTTGTAAAATTGACAGTGTATTTCTTCTGTGACCCAGTTGGCCCTGTAAAACTTCTGTGGCGGGAAGGCAAAACTTACAACTAATGATCAGTACTTGAGCATTTTGTCAGTTTACTGGCTGTCTGCATCGGATTTAATTTTCCAAATTGACAACAGTCTGCTTACATGTATTTAGAAGTTTTACCACAAGAGTCCAATGTGAATTGTGAACACGGCGTAAGTCACTGGTACATTAACTGAAGCTATGTGAAATGACTCTAGTCGCGACCAAATAGTGGACTACAGTTTCCGGACCGATCCTAATTTTTCGGCATGACCCTAACATTTTAGAAAAACAAATATGAAAATATATAAAAAATAGCCATGCCATGAATTTGTTTGCCCAAATAGGATCAACACTTGCCCAAGATTTCTCGGAATCCACAATTATTATAGTTATTAAACTCATGAACGCAAAAAATACACACATAAATGAGAGACCAAGTTCTGTGAATTAACTTGCAAAAAGCCTCTTGCAACATCAGTGTCTTTTCGACCTGTGGCCCTGGGGTTGCATTCGTGACGTGTACAGCCGATGTAGAGGACATGTATATGTACATGTGCATTCAGCACGGTACATGTACAGTACAGACAGGTTCTGGATCTTACATTTCCATCACGCACTCTTTTGCATGGGCGTGGCGCGGCAGGAACCAGAGCAGCTTCATTTAATGCATAGAGCTTTGCGCACATGTTTTCACCACTGCGACAGCAAAATTTGAATGGAAACTCCTGAGAACTACAGGTTTTATTTTTCCAAAAAATTGAAAATATAATTAGAAAGACTATAAAAACAAGCATTTTAACATGAGAAAAGGTTATTGAAAGATGATTGTGAAGACAGAAAAGGCATCAGATTTCAACTGGCCCATCGGACCACCAGTTTTATTAGGTCAGCTGGTCTGCCGACTTTTCTACTGGCCTCGGGCTAGCAGATCAGCGTTAATTCCAACCCCTGTTACTCTTACTTACATGTATATTAGCAACGTTTGAAAAAAAACTCGTTATTTCCCGAGTTTCTTTGCATTTTTCTGTGTCGCGGTGGTGAAAACATGTACATGTATGTGATGCGCATTGCATAGAAGCAATACTTGCTCCCATCATGCTGCACCTACGCAAAAGAGGACATGATGAAAATGTGGCAACCAGTCTATGCATCGTAGGCAAAATAGTGTTGTTTCACTGCATCGTACCTGTAGGCTACATGGTACTAGTCTGTTCCAAACTTGGTGTCACCATTGCAGCTACATGTGTATACATGTACCATTACCTGTATGAGTATACATGTACATGCAGGGGTCAAGTTCAGCTTTGATACCAGGTCTTTGCATGGGGTTTAGCCAGGAAGTGTAAATACTCAAAGGTATGGCCGTTAATAGTGTTTTGTGTAATATTATCGGGTCACTGCACTCAAAGCATACATGTACATGTACACGATGTATTCTTTGGACTAAATAAGTTCAGCGCAGTGGCCACCATTCTTAGCATCGGATAAATTGTATGAAATTTACATCTACTGGTATGCTACTAGCATTGTCAAAGTAATGGTAGGGCTAACATGTCAGGTACATTATAGATAGTATCATGATACTTGAAATGAATATGCGTACGTGTATTTTGGTTAATGAGCATCAGAGGCTAATACATATACATGTTTGTGTCAGAAGATGTATCCTGAAGGAATCAAAACAAAATTGACATAAAATATGTACATGTGCCGTATGTCGTTGCCATAGTGGTAGTAACAGTTGGATTGTTCTTACATGTACACATGTACAGTACATCCCATTTCAATTGGGGCCAACTCAAAACACGTGCTTACTTCTTGTCATTGAAATATGTTGCATAGTTTTTAGAAAATTTGATGCTTGAATTTGTATCTGTGTAACTCATACGTACATTTCTCAGACTACATGTCATTTTAGCTTTGTTTTGCAAGAATGGTTGCCTTGAGGTTCTGTACCATACGCACGATACACACAAGGTACACACATGTACATGTATATACCTGTTTTACATATAAAGTGTGGACATTCCTTTGTTCTCCTGTGGTTAAGGAAACTTGAGGAAAATGCTCCTTTTTCTCCAACTACACTGGACAGCAAAAGAAACTTGCCACTTCTGTCAAAGGCCACACATGAAAATTCACTCCATAGAAATAAACAATTTTTGTACACAGGTATGTTGCAATACCCCTAGTCTTGGCCCAAGACGCCAGTGATCGATAGTTGCTTTATTTCTGTTGAAGAGCGCCCTCGCACAACTAGTTTTTGCTGCATTGCATAATGTGTGTGACATTTGTGGCCGAAAAATGGGAAAAACAAAATTTACACCACGCAAGAAATACGTTCTTGTTTTTTGCAACTCACAATGAGCATGCTGCCCGAGGCCAAATTACTTACACAAGTGGCAAATAAACCTACACATGAAGCATGAAAACGACAACCAACTTGCAGTCAGGGTTCTCCGTCCTCGAAGGTTAAGGTCTACATGGTCTCTAAGGACGCTTTAGTTAGTTGGGGAGGACATACATGTACTGACAGTACATGATTATGGGTCACCAAAAACAGCATCCTCTGTCATAACCCAGGCCTAACCTAGTCTGAGTATATACTCTGTGCTAACTTCGTACGAACGTCTGTGTTGTCGTGTCTGTTTTGATGGGACTGCAGACAGCCATGATGCATGTGACCTTACCATGGTGTATTATTGAGGTCATTGAAATTTATTATGCATGCAATTTAGCAAGTGCTGATTGGTTCCCTTGGAAAGCCGAGGGAAAAATAAAGAACAAGTTAAAACGCTGCTGCAAGATTCCCAAGACGTTAGTGTGAGCTGGCGCACAGGCTAATTATGAGTCGTTAAAGGACGCACTATGCACGGTGTTCGCTATCAAGCACTAACGTCTTGAAACCAAGACTACAATACCCCTTACTGATTCAGTAACCAA